GTTGTAAAAGTGGAAGCTAATTGGAGCCCAAGTGCATTGGATATGGAGGAACTCAATAAGGGTTTTCTGATTTGGTATCCATTAGAAGTTCTCTGTTAGGAGTTTTTGGTATCTGTTAGGAGTGCTGGCTGACTTCATATTGTCATGTATAAATGTTGTTTAGAACCTATTTGGATCAGTGTGTGACAAATGTGCTCCCTCCCTGTATCACGTCTTAACTCTAGGATATGTCTACAGGTTTAGCTCCTTTTCTAAAGTGTTATTGTTGACAACAAGGAGGAACTGTGTTTAGGGTGATACTTTTACATAGAAGTAAAGCAGAGGTCCTTATTAACCGGATCAAGGAGAACAGTATGTGTACTTTTAAAAAGTTAGTAACTAGAATCCCAGTTACTTGTTAGAGTGAGACAGGAGGATCACAAGTTTGAGGCCAGCTTGGGTAACTTATGTGACCTGTTTTTTAAAAACAAAACAAACAAAGCACTGGAGATGTGGCCCAGGACTCCACAGGCTCAATTTCCAGATTGGATATGTGTTTGTGGGATAGGGGTATAATTTCCTAGAGTTTCCTTCACTCCTATAGTTGAACAGTGATGCATTAAAGTCTTTTTACTGGATAGTGACAGAGTTTGGTAATTAAAATATGTTGCATCCACTGCCCTGAGGGAAGGGGCTTTGTGGAAGTATAGCGAGAACCACTGCGCACTCGAGAACTTCTTGAGGCTCTTACTTTACTCCAAAAGGCATTTGGTTCAGTATGAGTTTCCTGCAGGATTGGTAAAAAAAACTTTAATATTTGAACTACTTATTAGTTGTCATTCCCTTATCAGCCAAATCTTTCCCTGAAGACAGGAGTAGGAAAACTGTCTTTGAAATTAGAAGACCTAACTCTGCCATTTACTGGTTTAAAGCAGCTTAAATTCTAGGGTTATGTTGCACTCGGTCTTAGGGGCTGTATTGAGCTTTAATGAGGTAGATTAGTATATGTAAATATAACTAACTAACTAACTTACTTACTTATTTTTTGTAGATATCAGGAATTGAACTCAGGACCTCACACTTGCCAGGCAGGCACTGTGCCACTGAGTTATATTCCTGGCCTACTATAACCAATTTAGAAATGATTCCTCCTGATTATGAATGAGTTAATCAGTGTATGATTGATAGTTGTGGAAGGAGAGGGATGGTTACGTTAAAATAAAAACAGGAGAAAATATGTATTTTTACATTTCTATTTGAATGAATTTTATATCTATAAGAAAAGTTGTAATAGTAAGAACTGTCACTTAGCTTTCTCTCAGGTTCTTCAGTTGTTAACATTTGACCATTTGCTTTATTGTTTTGTAGGAGAGCATGTTAAGGTAACAAACAATTGAGTGTTTTTTTCAGTAAAGTCAGGCATACTATGATATATTATCTCATGTAATCATTGCAGTAACCTAGTACTATTTATATAGGTAGTATATAGTATTATAGGACTTAGGTTAGTTGCCTGAGACTCCACAGCAGGTAAATGACAGCAGTAGGACTTAAAACACTGTCTGGTTTGAAAGGTCCCTATTTCTCACTGTCTTCCTTTGCTAGTAGACCTAGAGACCTACATTCTAGCTCTGGTTTTACCACTAACGTCACTGACCACTGACAATTTATTTTGCAACTGTTCCTCACATTTTGCTTCTGTAAATGGAACCCCATGTCCCTGACCCTGACTCACCTAATTTTTTCACCTAACTTTAAAGATATGTTATCTTCGATGAAATGTCATGAGTTTTTTTTTTAACTATATCAATCAGTGTTTGGATTTAGAATAGCCAATTACTGTAACGTAATTCATTTAAGGGAAAAAATAATGAAGCTTTCCATCAGGTTTACTGTTAAAGTTACTGGTGATGTGAGAATATACTTTTCTTACACCTAGATCCCATATGAAAGAGATGGAACTGCTATAGTTTTACTGGTGTTCTGTTTTACAGTGGGAAAAACCTAGAAAGTTTTTTCCTTTTGGGAAGACAATTCAAAGATATTGGACTGTGCCTTGCCCTAGTAATTATGCTTTTGAGATTATGATTTTTTATTCTTCTAGGAGGCTACGGGGCCTGGAGCTTCTTGGAGACTAGGGAAGACTATAGCGATGTTTGGCCTTCAGATTGTCCCCATTTTCTCTGGAGTTGAATTGACTATTGCACCTTCTTTGTTTTACCCAAACGAATCTTTTGGTTTTGATGGAAATATGTCTTCCAGGACGTTGAAATAGAATCATGGGCTGGGGATTTAGCACAGCGGCATAAGTGCCTGCCTTGCAAGTAGGCAGTCGTGAGTTTGATCCCTGGTACCGGTAAAAATGAAAAAGGAAATAGAATCATAAATTGCTGGCTCATAGGCCACATGTAGCTGACAAACATATTTTTCTTCAATTTTTATTTATTAATATCTTTGCAGTATATAATGATCGCATTCCTCGTAGAGAGTTGGTACATGTACAAAAATTCATTTTAATTCATTTGCATCCCCTTTCCTCCCTTCTCTCTTCCTCTGTCTCCTGGTCCCCTTCTCTTTTTGCAAGAGATCTATTTGCTGTTCCTGTTTATTGTTTGTTTGTTTGTTTTAAGACAGGTGCTCAATATAGCACAGGCTGGCCTTGAACTCATGATGTAGTCCATGCCTTGAATTCCTGGCATTCCTACTGCCTCAGCCTGCCAAGTGCTGGGACTACAGGCATGTGCCTCCACACCCAGGCTCGATCTTTTATTCTGCTCTTTATTTATATTTTGGGTTTCTCATATAAGAGAGACTATGCAATATGTAAGCTTATATGTCTTGATTTCTTGTGCTTAACATGGCCTCAAGGTTCATCTATTTACCTACAAATGCCTCAAGTTTATTCTTCTTTTAATGGCAAAGTTGTACTCCCTTGTATATAAATACCAGCCTGGTGATAGACATACAGGCTGCTGCTTAAGATTGAGCTATTATGAAATGTGCTGCTAAAAACATGGATATGCATGTGTCACTGTAATTTGATGTTTTTAACCACTTTGGGAAGATACCTAGAAGGGCAGTGGCTGAATCAAATGGAATTTCTTGTTTTTCAGCTTTTTGAGATTCTCTCTCTGATTTCCATAATGATTGTACTAGTTTATATTCTCACCAACAGTGTAGAGGGGTTCCTTTTTTCCTACAGCCTCTATAGCACTTGTTATTATTGTATTTGATTTCTCGATGATAGCCATTTTTTCTGGAGGCATATGGAATCCGAGTGTTGTTTTAATTTGTGTTTCTCTGATGACCAGCAGTGTTGAACATTTTTTTATGTGTGTATTGGCCATTTGTACTTTTCTCATTTTTTGATTGGGTCTTTCATTTTTGAGGGCTCTCTAATTTTTTGAGTTCTTTGTATAGTCTATATACTAGTTCTGTTTCTGAGGAATAGTTGTACCCAGCTTTTTCTACATTGTAGCTTGTCTCTTCACTCTGTTGGTTATTTCTTTTGTTATACAGAATTTTTTAATTTGATATGATCTTATTTGTTGATTTTTTTTTTTTGTCTTTTTCCTTTTTATCGGTACCGGGGATCGAACTCACGATCGCCTGCTTGCATAGCAGGCACTTATGCCGCTGAGCTAAATCCCCAGCCCCCTATTTGTTGATTCTTGATGTTATCTCTTGGGCATTTGGGGTTCTGTTCAGAAAGTCCTTACCTGCACCTATGGTTTCAAGAGTTTCACCTATTTTATCTTTTAGAAGATTAACTGCTTCTGTTTTAATATGTAGATCTTCAATTCATTTTGATTTTAGTATAGTGTATATACTGAGAGATACGGGTGTAGATTCAGTCTTCTCCGTAATTGTATAGTTAGTTTCTCTAGCACTATTTATTCATTCATTTATTTTTCAAGAGTAGGAAAATTTATGAGGAATAGGAATAGCTCCTGAGAGACAGTGGGAGTCCTGAGTGGGTTGCCAACATGCCCTTTTCTCAGAAGAAATTTTATAAACCAAAATCATGAGGCAGGTACTACATGGGTCAAAAATTATGATTTTACCATAATGAATTTATGGTTTTACCATAAATGAATATGATCCCAGTACCATTTATTAAAGATGCTATTTTTGAGGGGAGGGAAGGGGAATGGAGAAATAAAAAGAATCAAGTTATATCATATATAGGTATAAATTCTCCACAGTGAATGTGATCATTGTATATATCTGAAATGCATTGATAAAATCTGACTGGAAAAAAGAAGATGCTATTTCTCAAATGTATTTTTGGCTTGCTAAATGTTTAATTTTTTTTTTCATTATTAGCCTTTATTTAAAAGCCAGAGAATTTCACATAAAAACCCAGATTTGTTTCCAGTTTGGACCTACATAGATTTGTCTAGAATTAGAAAATAATAGTAATTGGCTGCTCCTGTTCCTGTTTCACATCTGATTTCTGTAGACACTTGAATTTTCAGCATCAAACCTAACTGTGAACTCCAGTTTTGAAAGCTCCTGAAGTACAATTTGAGGAGCCAGGGTAGTGGTGGGTTGTCTCATCATTGTTATAGGAGAGTCCTGTTGTCCTGAATAGGCAGACAAATAGCTCATAAAAAAGACAGATTTTCTCCAAAACCACTGTTTTGCTTGCTCCTATCAGAATTTCATTTCCATCATTATGGAGCCACAGCGGCTTGTAGACCCCAGAGAGATGCAGCCATCTTCCTTTATATTCTGCGTACTTCTTGTTCATTGCTTCATTCCCTGTACATAGGCATCATCACCAGCAGAGGGTGCTATCCACTCACTGGGTCTGCTGTCATCCTGGCTCAGCTGAGCACCAGCTGTTGGGCATGTGCCCTGGGTCTGTATGAGAGTTTGGGCATGTCCTTTTGGTTCCCATCTCCAGTGCCCACCCCTTAGGCCCTGGCCAGGTTATTGTGTCACTGGGGACTCTGTTCAGTAACACAGGAAACTGGGGAAAGTTTAATTGTTTTCTCCTCTCCCTTTTTCCCATGCAGCTGAACAAAAGGTTCATCCTCAGTTTTCTCCATGCCCATGGGAAGCTGTTTACCCGGATTGGGTAAGTGTGCAGGATGTTTATTTTATTTTCCTACATTACAAGTCATTTTGGAATTTAATATTGTTAGCAACTAGACTGTGTTTGTAACTGAGGGCACAGGGTGTGAATTCTTAAAGGTCTCCACCTTCTCTTCCCTGTGCTCTCTCCTGCTATGTTCATGAAGTTGAAGAAATATTTCTGTCTCTTCTTTCTTTACCTTTACTAAACACCTCCACCCCCTGCCTCAAGGGCTGTCTTTTGCCAGCCCCTTCCCCTAATTCCTATAGTGTTCTCTTTCCTCTGCCTTCTGTCTCAGCCTCTAGTAAGCTTCTACAGGCAATCATGCTGCATCCTTGGCTACAGCTACCAAGGGTCCTCCTTGGAGAAAAACTGCTAATTTTTCCTCTGAGACAAGAGCATTTTCTTTCCTGTATGTTCTTTGATTTATACCCCTTCCTTTTGTGCTCACTTTCCTATACCATGCTGGTAATCTTGGTTTCACCATCCACCATGGATTTGCATATGAATCTTGGGAAAATAATGTGTGCAAAACCCTATTGCCTTATAAGTCCCAGGAAAGACATTGAATTTTGAGTAGTCCTTTGGTAGATCAGAGTTCTTTCTCACAGTGTAAAATTCATGAAAAAGCCTGACTTAATGCCTTCATAAAGGAGATATATGCTGAGCATCTTTCATGTAGGCCTTCCTTAGGTACAGAACAGTGAAGAAAGAAGTGGCAGAGAGAGGTCTTTTAGAATTTAATATTTTCTAAATTGGTGTTTTATTGTGAGCTGTGTTTGGAGGCGATTTATTTTGTATTATACGCCCTCCAGTTACTGTCAATACTTCCCTTTCACTTTGTCACATTGTAAGTTTTTCTATAATGCTCTAGAAAGTTTTCATAGTGGAAATAGGAACTATGTCAGTTTTCACATACTTTTATATTTAACTCTTTTGAGAAGTTGAAAAGCTTTGACCTCCTTGAAGAAACAATAGCCCCTGGATGGTGAACCAGAAAGTATATTTAACGTATTCATTTGGCATCAGCCTAAGCAAGAGAGATGATAATGGCCATTGCCAAGGTAGCTTTGATCTTTAAATGACTTGGTAAAATTGAAAAAGTGCCCAAAGATGAATGTATATCAATAGAAATAAGTTTTAAATAATTCACTTAGGAAAAATAAACTAGTTGCATTAATAACTCTCATGTTCCCACTTCTACCTTCACTATCAAAATAAGCTGCACTGTGGCTAGAATTTTTGCATCATGCTGTTGGATTTTGAGTGTTTGACATGTATAATAGATGCTCAGTTAATATTTGTTGTACGAGTGTATAAATCGTTGTAAGAAATGGATTGTAAAAGACTAGAGAGAAAGATCTGGTATTACACTAGAACCAAACTGATCACTAAAGAGTAATGAAAAGCTGCAGTTATGGTGTGGGTAAGATTAAATTGGTGTCTATAAGATTATATTTAAAACAATACATCACAGCAGGAAATACTGCACTTAAAATAACAGTTGATGGTAGTCTCAACTCTTTATTTCTCTTTTGGTTTTCTTATCTTTCCCTCCCTTATTTTTACTGAAAAGTTTCTCTCCTTTTTTCCTTATAATTTCTTTATGTTTTCTTATACCAGGTTGATCTAAATCACATTTTTTCAACTTCAGTACTGTTGAGCTGGGTAATTTTTTTTATTGTTACTTTTTTTTTTTTTTTTTTTTTTTGGTAATGCTGGGAATTGAAGTAGGACTTCAGGCATCTAGGCAAGTCACTCCGCCACAGAGTCGTTCCACCAGTCCTGAGTTGGGCAATTCTTTGTTGAAGGAGTTTGTTCTACATTGTAGGATTTAGAACCATTTAGCTTCTTTCCACTACAAGTCAGTAGCACACCACCTCTTAATTCATGATAACTAAAAATGTCTCCAGACATGCCAAATGTTCCATGGGGGGCAAATTTGCCCCTCATGGAGAACTACTTTAACTATTTATTGCTCTATTGGAGACTTTTGGAACTGAAAAACTTACAAATCTTGCTTCAGGCTATATGTATATTTAGGATTTATTCATTGTGGAGTTTTTTAAGACAGGGTCTATGTCAGTGATGGGAAACCTTTAGAGCTTTCAGTGATAAACATCCCACTGCAGCATGTGTGGCATAGGTTCATCACCACTGGTCTGTGTAGTTCAGTCAGGTTGGTTTGAACTTGGAGCAATCCACCTTCCTTAACCTCCCAAGTGCTGGAATTACAGGCATGTGCCAAAATGTCTGATTAGGATATATTTTCATCAGATTGTGTTAATTAAACTTTTATCACCACCCCTTTTCAAAAATTCTCATATTTAAACACATGTATTTTAGAAGACATTTGGGAAGGAATCACAATATTGTAATAATTAAAAAGCTGGAAAATGAGATCTGAAAGGAAAAATTAATCTTAAACCTTAAACCTTTAGTGGCAGAATGCTTGCCTAGCATGTTTGAGGCCCTGGGTTCAATCTCCACCTTTGCCAAAAACAAAAACAAAAAACCCACTAAAGTAAAAATTAAAAATTAGAGATCATTATAGAGTGCCCTGTATTTACATAGAAAGGAGTCATGACCAGATAGCTTTGTTTTTATGGGATGACAATCAGGAAAGTAGGTACAGCTAAGAGATATGGGTTAATTGTAAGAAAATTGTGTGGAGAATAGATGTTTGGGGAATTTCCTTCCCTGGAGACCTTAAAAAAAAAAAAAAAAAAGATTGTCTATTTGTCTTAAGTGTTGTGCTTTATTTAATCCAGATTACTTTTCAGGATTTCTTGCATTACTGTATAATAACTTTTGTTGTCAAAAAGATGAAGCCAGACCACTGTCACCTTTATAAAAGATGAATTATTGTAGTTTTCAGAGAGGAAAATGTGTGTCAATTCTAGGCATACTTTAGTCCTTGTTTAACTAGTCCTCTTATCCTTTCTTGGAAATAAAAGAGAATTGAGCCCCAAATTTATTCAGGAGACAGAAACAGTACTAACATTTGTATTGTTTTAAAAAAGAAAAAAAATGTATAGAAGTCTGTAAGACTAGAAAAGCAGTGAGCCCAAGCCACACACATCATCATGGCCTGTTGCCTAATTACCAAGAAGATGTGAAATGTAGGAGGCGTTGAAAACAAATTAAGACTGAGAAGATTGTAATGGGGAGCAGCTGAAGACACATCACTTGCTTCCTGCCTTTTGAGAAAAGTCCTGTAGTTGTCCCTCCATTGAGCTTCTCTGCATCTCATGTTCCAGGGTACATCCGTGTATACTTAAATGCCTACTGTGTGTAAGACTTCTGCTTATTCTCAGCATCAGCAGACAAGTTAGGGCTTTAATGAGATCAAGTGCCAAAGAGTTTTTCACCACTTACTAGTTAAAAGACCTCAACAGTAAACAAGTCAGAACTTCTGTGAGCTTCAATTTCCTTATCAGTCGTCTAATGATGATCTCTGAGAGGCATTCTAGTTCTTACGTTTTCTCTCATTTTCATCCCATCACATGGCTTAATTTTTTTGTTTTCTTTTGTTTTGTTTGGCTCCCAGATTGATCCTTTCTGTTATTAAAAAGTTGAGAAAAGTTAGAAAGCTGATTGTTTTCTGTAGATAATGTTATGTAGCCCTGCTCTGTTCCTCACCATCAGAGGAGTTGGGTCCTGCCCTTTTAGTATCTGAGTCATTCTTGAATCTGGATCTCAGGGTTGTTGGAAAGATTGATTTCTTGAAACTGCCATTCAGATGAGACAGGGTGTCTCTAGAGATCACTTCACAAGGCAGCCACTTCAGTCAGTGAGTGAATGCATACCTTGACAATGATTGAATCTTGTGACGTTTTAGAGTAGGATGGAGTCCTCAGAGGAGATGATCAGGGCTGCCAGGTGATTCCTGGTAGATGCTTTCCTTGAGGGGCAAAGCAGATTTGCACTTCGCTTTCACTGAGAGGGTCCAGAATCTGGCAGTTTGTAGGACTACTGATTTGTGACAATTGGAATAATTTTGCTTCCTATTATTGCCTTGGTTAAAGTTATTGCTTTAGTTTTTATTTGCTTTTGCATTGTCATGCAATTTGCACAGCTTCAAGGATTGTGGAATTCAAAACCTGATATATTTACTTTGAACTTTGAAAATTTAAAAATATAGGGGGCTGGGGATTTAGCTCAGTGGCATAAGCACCTGCCTGGCAAGCTTGAGATCATGAGTTCGATCCCCAGTACTAAAAGAAAATTTAAAAATATAGGGGGCTGGGGATTTAGCTCAGCGGCATAAGCACCTGCCTTGCAAGCAGGCGGTCGTGAGTTCAATCCCTGGTACCGATAAAAATGAAAAAGACAAAAAAAAAAAAAGAAAGGAAAATTTAAAAATATAATGTTTATATCTTGATTTATTTTTAAAATTAACAAATGTTTTTAAACACAAAAGGAAGTATTCATTGTAGGGGAAATTGTTTTCTGTATTATGTAGTGCTCATTTTAAAATATTTAGAAAACATAACGGGGAAATAAAAATTTACTCGTATTCTTATTACCCAAAGATTACAACCCACCTTTAACAATTGTTGTATAATTTTTAATATCATACTTTTAAGTGTCTAAAGTGCTCATATTAAGTTGTTTTACAACTATTTTCATTTGTTATATTCTCTGAAGTGATTAGAAAAACGTACTTTTTTAAATTTTAAAAACAGTCCTTTTTTTTTTTTTTTTTTTTTTTTTTTAAATCAGTACCAGGGATCAAACTCACAACTGCCTGCTTGCAAGGCAGGCACTTATGCCGCTGAGCTAAAAACAGTCCTTAGGCACCAGGCGTGGTGGCTCACGCCTGTAATCCCAGCACTCAGAAGGCTGAGGTGGGAGGATCGTTGCAAGTTCGAGACCAGCCTGGGCTACAAAGTGAGCTTGAGGTCAGCCTGAACTGCATAGCGAGACCCCATCTCAAAAAAGATTAAAAAAAAAAAACAAAAACCAGTCCTTAGTGTATGGCTGTGCCATCTTTATCATCTTTTTTTTTTTTTTTTGTACCAGGAATTGAACTCACAACTTTGTGCTTGCCAGGCAGGCACTTATGCCACAAAGCTAAATCATCTGTTGTTGAGCATTCTAGGGTGCCTTCAAGTTTTTACTGTTATGAATGTCTCTGTTCTTTCTCTTCTTCCCTTTATTGCTGCTGCAGTCTCATTTTTCTAGGCCTTGAATTTTATAATTATTACATAAGCAATAATCCAAAAATCATTATAAATATATAACATTACAAATAAGATTAAAATTTCTTTCAGCTCTGCACCAACTCCTGTGCACTCCAGAGTAGTCACTCTAGACATGTATGTTTTCTTCAAGACTTCTTAAATGCCTTTGCATACTTACATATGTGTCAGTCAAAACACATGATTTTGTGTTTTTTTTCTAAACATAAATTTTATATCATCATACCCTCAGTTTTTCTACAATTTTCTTTCTGTAGGGAGGGGCAAAGATTATTTCTTAAAGAGAAAAATGCAAAACTATTTACAGGTGGTTTGAAGCCAAAATCAGGAAGCATTTTTGTTACAAATCTGGAAAGCAGAAACCTTGTTATGGAGAGGAGGCTTGTCTGTGCTTCCCTTAGTTATTGCTTAACAAAGCTGATTGTCTCTTGGTCCAGCTTCCCTTATATCTTACATATGAAGTTACTTTTACGCGTTCAATTTTTTTTTTTACCTTTTATTTAAATCATATTGTACTATTTCAAAGGGAAGGGGAGGGTTTTAAAAACTTTTTTAAAAAAGGAATATATTAGACTTGTAGCCCTTTGAGATTTTAGTCTGATGCAGGGAGTGTTAATGAATCATTTTCAATTCCAATCCCAGGGAAGAGGCTTCCTCAGACACATCTTTGAAGCAAAACTGTCCCACATGATACTCGGTCCTGTCATTCTGTGCTGGCTCTCAACTACCTTTCAACACGGAGATACATGGCTCTGAAACTTGCCCAGCGTGGCTGCTTTTCAAGCAGAGTGAAATTCTGCTCTTCTCGTAATGAGAAGTGCTAGCCCCCCTCCCCACCTCCAAAGAGAAAGAGTGCTGTACAATGTCAAGATTTAAAATGAAACCTTTGTTGCAGCCCATGGAGAAAAATGGATCCAGTCGAGCCTCAAACATATCCCACTTTGCCATTGCACATCTACCAAGAGTTTTAGTGGCTCTGAAAGTTTTTAGAGGGAAAAAAGTGTTTCTTTAGTTTTGTTTTGAAATGGCATGTAGAGGAAAAAGCAAGTGGCATGTTTTGTGCCAATGAAAATGAGGACAGCTCAGCAAAGAAGGGAACTGGAATGTAAACTGCAATTGACCCATAGCTGTGGCATGACTTCTGGACACCAAAGGGTCAGCAAGAGGAGTTGCCATCCAAGGGCAAGGAATGAAGATTGTCAGGATTCCAGAAAACTCTAGGGTTTTCTTGTCTGAGAAGGGCAGTAGTAACTCAGTGGGGAAAGGGCCAAAATTGGGGTGAAACTAACATCACCTTTCTCTAGGACTTGAAACTGTTTTATGTCTTTTTGAGAAGTATTCTCTTCTCTGTGGCTTTCCAGAAGCTATTTATTAATCCACTCTAGAGCTGTTCTCCACTCACCCCTAAGAGCACTATAGTAGTTTGGTTTGGGAGGGTGGGATAAAAGATACTTTGCTGACCATGGATTGTTCAATGTGGCCGTAAGGCCTGTGTGCCTGGTTTCTCTCTTGAGCACCAAGTTTGAGTTTGCCTTTTTTTTTTTTTTCCAAAGGACTTGAGCTGTGGTTTGTTCCTGTTGCCAAAGGAGCTCCAGGCATGCACCACTGTTTAGGATCCAGTGGCTGCATTTGGCAAGCAGTGTTTGAAATGACCTCTTTTTAGGAGTCCTAGGTCACTGGCTGGATTTCTGCCTCCCTACATTACAGGCTCTTCCTGTATCGGGAGTGGCGGTTGGCCAGGGCATTATATTTCCACTGGCCTGAAAACATACAGACCTTGGTGAGCAGAGGCTTGTGAGAAGGAGGAGGACAGCAACAGAGAAAAGACTGAAATAGATATTAGGGCCCTAGGTCTTCAGATTTTTTCAAGAGGAACCTTGGGATCCTTTGGTAGGCCAGTTGGCATGGTAGCTAAGAAGACAACAGGAAAAAAACTGGAAGAGTAAATAAGATTCAAAACATACAGTAGATATTGTGAAAATGAAAGCACAATTGGGATAGGAGAAAAGAAGGGAAAAGATTATATATATATATATACACACACACACACACACACACACATATATGCAGGTAACTCACTTGGTAGGCCAGGCTGGACTCAAACTCACAACAATCCTCCCGCCTCAGCCTCCCGAGTGCTGGGATTACTGGCGTGCACCACCATGCCTGGCCCAAGTATAACTTTCATAGCTGAGAATTTGGGGAATATGTAGGTGTTAGAACTTAAAGTTTGTTAACTACTTAGAAAAACATTGTCTCAGAGAGAGATTTTTTTTGTCGACTTGTATTCAGTTATTGCCAGGCATTAGGAAATAGCATACCAAGGCACAATAAGTCACAGCAGTTTACCAAAGAATTGAGTTGTTTCCATCTCTGAACCCTGAACACTTTGTTCGTTTTTCTTAAGTCTGTTCAGAATTGCAGGATACCAGAATAGTTTATGAAAGTAGCAAAAAAAAAAAAAAGTCTTATGCATTAGTTGTCTACTTTAGGGGTGTGTGTAGGGGGTGATTCTCCAAGTGCTCCTGGGGTATGTGCCTCATTTGACGGGCTCCTTGTGTATGCAGGATGGAGACATTCCCTGCAGTGGCTGAGAAAGTCCTCAAGGAGTTCCAGGTGTTGCTGCAACATAGCCCATCTCCTATTGGAAGTACCCGCATGCTGCAGCTTATGACTATCAACATGTTTGCTGTGCATAATTCCCAGCTGAAAGGTAAGCAATATGTAGTTACTTTATCTAGACAGAGAAGTCAATCTAGTTTCTTTCTTATGCTTGCTTATTACCACCCCAACCCCAAACATATAAGTGCTACCCTACACACCATTACATTTCAGAGCTTTGGTTTGTTCTCTGAAATCTGTAAGACCTCTAATGCTTGTGTGAGATGGAAAGAGGGAAGCACGAATATGAAGCTTAATTTGCAGACCAGGAGATGCTTTTGCACATCTGGCCATGCTAAAGGCAACAGCAAAGCCTCTTGGAGGCTGCAGACCCAGAGCCTCTCCCAAGGGAGAGGCATTGCTGAAATGTTTCATTACAGAGACCATACGCTTGGCAAGGATTGGGAATAGCTTTTTCTGGACTCCTGTACCCTGTTTGTTCAATATGGAAAAGTCTAGTTCCCTATGGGATATCCCTTGTGGAAGCTTGCCAGAGAGTAAGAACAGAGAATTGATGAGCTTTGGTGATTCAAATCTGGAAGCACAAAAACCATCAGGCCTAGAACTTGGCTTGTGTACTGGTGTGCATTCTGAAATGCTTTTTTTAACAATCTTTGGGACTTTTGGTGGATGTAGGAGAGCAGAGGAGGGAAGGACAGATTGGCAGTGTTTTTAAATGTTCTAATGACCGACCAGATCCATGTTACCAGGATCTCTTCCCTTCCTCCCATCCCACTTTAAAGCATTTGATGCACACTGCCAGAGAGTCGTTTCAGAGGATTGGCAGAGAATATTTGGTTTCAGGGCTGGAAGGTTATTATCTGCAATGCCAGGAATTGAGAATTGCCCGGTGGAGAGCTTGTTGCAAAGCAGATCTGGCATTCCTGGACAGAGTGCCACTGGCTTTCTTGTGGCACCTTTTCTCAGGCCTTCTCTCACCTGGAAGCTGATTTATTTCTCTGTTGGGATGTTATGCTCAACTTGCTAGTGGTGGGGAATTCCTACCCTGATGAGCGAGGTGCCACACTTTCCCTGGAAACAAGGCTTCTCCTGGGACTTGGCAAGATCCAGGCTAGGCAGCCTGGGTTTTAGTTGCATCTGACTCTAGGAGGACTTTGTCTTGTCAAACTGCCTGGTACAGCATTTATAATTTCCAGTAGAAGGCAAGCTGCAGAGGCTCAGTATCCTTTTTGAACTTGGCTACTTAACTCTTGAGATGACTATTTGCTTAATCAGCAGTAAGGAAACATGAGGAGCAGCACTGGTTTCCAGGAAGGGGAAAATACAGTTTGTAAAGTATTGCCCTTGTGAGGCTGTGAGGTTTACAGGAGATGGAGATTATGCTACCAAGAAAGAAGGCCAGTGAACTCTGGAAATAGGACGACTTGCGTGCTCTCCGCTGCACGTTCTTTCTTTCTCCTAAAACAACCTACTGAGCCTAGTGAGCTGCTTGTCACATAACTGCTATCTCTGCCGAGGTATAACAATACTCTTAGATGACCTATCATCTGTGTAGAGGGCCTGTAGCTCTTGCCTATGAAACATCTGTTTTCAGCCACTTCTCCAAGGAAAAGAATACGTGGGCTTCTTTTGTTTTGTTTTGATTTGATTTTGTTTTTGTTTTGTGGTACGGGAAATCAAATTCGGGACTTTGTGCTTGCCAGGCAGGTACTGTGCCACTGTGTTATGTCCTCAGCCTACCTGGGCTTGTTCATAGGCCACCAGTGAATCCTTTTCTTGTAGTTATTATTAAGTAAACTTAAGAAAATATAAGTGGAGGGGCTGGAGATTTAGTTCAGCAACGTAAGTGCCTGATTGGCAAGCGTGAGGTTGTGAGTTCAATCCCTGGTACCAAATAAATAAATAAATAAAATATAGGTGGAAGAAGGAAGGTGAGTATAGACAAAGAAGGAAGTAAGTAGTTCTTCTATGTGACATGTAAAACCCTGTCCTTATTTCTGGCCTTGCCCTGACTCTGTGAGGCAAAAGGAGCCCCAGCTGAGGTGGTCAGAGACTCCAAAGATTTTTCAGAGAAAAATAGTCCAGGCCACAGGATATAACACTCAACTAGGACACAGAGCTCTGTGGACGTGCTGCCAAGTACCCGGTGTGCAGCTGAGGCAGCTGTCCAGACCCCACTGTGTGGGCTGCCATTGGGAGAGGGGTGAGCAGAGCACTCAGCAGGGCTGGTTGGTGGGAAGATGCACTTTTCCATTTCCCAGCACATGAGTCATCTTCTCTGGGTCCCTGTGCTGTGCTTGCACGGACAGTGGCAAGAGGGGGTGTTGTGGCTGAGTAGGAGCATCTGTGCTGGGGGTGGAAAGGGAAGGGGGTTGGGGAAAGGGTAAAGATTTAAATCCTTCACTAATCAGCAGCAGTTTGAATCACATTTTTATGAGTAAGGAAATGATAAATCAACCCTGCATGTTTGGCCTCCAAAGCTCGTCAGTCCATGCCCTTCTAAAGGTTTCCCTCTGGGCCAGTCTGCATGCTGTCAAAGTCGCCACCCAACCACAGGTCCTTGGCTGTCTGAAACCAGGAAGTAAGGCCTGATGCTGCCTGGCCCTCCTGAGTGCTCGGGGTCTATGGTCATTTGGCAGTCACTGCAAGTTACAGAACATCTGGGCCATCATTTTTCTTTCTATTCCTTCTTGGACATGTCCTTCTGGGTGGGTGTTTGCATATGTCAGTTCCTGGAATCTGTGAAGGAGCACATTCCAGCCTGAAGCAGAGGTGATCTTGCAGCCCACATGGCAGTCCAGATCCTCAGTCTGTGCCTGAGTCTTCCCCTTAGCTAATGATCAGGAATATAATTTAGAGTTCAAAAGAGAGTTCCTTACTTAAACAGAATGTGCTTTGCTGATACCCATAATGCTTTTTTTGTGTTCAGTGATCCCCTGTGTGACTGCCATCTTTTCACAATATCAGCATTCCAGAATAGAAAGCATTTTGCTTCTAACACTTTAGTGTGATTTCTTTTCAGATACACTTTCCTTGTGGACATAGGGCTAGTTGCTGCAAAAGGAAAAACAGTAAAAAGCTTAGATGGTAGAAAGATTAGATCAGATTCACTCCTTTTCTATACATAGAGGAAAATAAATTGAGTTATGTCATATGATTTAGCTGATTAAGCTTTTAAGTTTCAACAGTGATCTTAAAATTCAGAGATTCAGGACTGTTGGTGGAGAGTCTTGTGTTGCTTATATGGGCCCTATGCAAAACCCTACACTTCAGTGGAACTACAAGTCTAAATTCCTAATACCCTACACTGAGCTGATAGGGAACTAATAAATTTCAAGGACAGGAAAGAGATGTTTGGGGGCTCCGGCATAGTGCTGGTATTTATCATATACTGAGTAAGTATTGAATGCATGGGTGAAGAAACAGCGGCTCTGGAGGGGCCACTCTGTTAAGCAGTGTGTTCCTTACCTGACTTGTGTCCAACACTGGCAGTGAAATAGGTGGTTCCCAGAGTGATGTCATAGTTGGTAATTGCTCTACAACATTCTGAGCCTGAAGGGCGAGAAGGGCCTTCTCCATGTACCTAAGCATTTAACACTTCAATAGCCATCCATTCTGCTGATGCTTGCGGGTGAACTGTTGATCTAAACCACAAGCACTCCAAGAATTTTAATTTTTTAAAAATTCTGTAATTTAAGAAAATAAAACTCTAGTTTCTTGAAGAGGAATAATTGAAGCAACATTTGTAGTAGGGCATCATTGAAACCCCATTGCATCCCCCATCTGTGCCCAATTTGCTCCAATCTAGCCTTTCCCTCCCCTCCCCCCTTGCTCTCTCTCTTTTTAAAAAATATGTTTTATAATTTTTGGAATCAAAACCATCTCAGTCACACACTGTTTTATTTTACTGTATTATTGGATTATACTTCCTATAAATCATTGCATGTTACTCATTTGCCACCACAGGAATAACTTCCCTTTTCTGTGCCTGGCCTCCTCCTTTTTTTCTAATAGTTCATACAGCATGTCTCCATTTCAGCCTTGCAGAAAAAGCCCTGGGGTAGCAGCAAGAGGGCACCCACGAGACACTTCTGTGTACTATTGGTGTTGCCTGCTGTGAGGGAACATTTGGGGTAAGAACTGAGGTATTATTAGACTGGCTTTCTTTTCATGATCATTTATGGTTGTTAGTAATCCTGAAGTACAAGAGTTAGAGGCAGTGCCACATGTTTGTCTTTGGAGAGGTAGAGAGCCATAGCTGTCCTACGGTACTGATGGAACTGTAACCCTGGGGCTGGGGATTTAGCTCAGCGGTATAAGCACCTGCCTTGCAAGCAGGCAGTCGTGAGTTCGATCCCTGGTACCGATAAAAACGAAAAAGACAAAAAAAAAAAAAAAAAAAAAGAACTGTAACCCTTCTTTGTGCCATTGTTACATATGAAGCTGGCTATAGCGGAGAGGTTTAGTTTACAACCAGAGTTTGTCGTCTAGCATACAGCAAACCTTGGAGACCTTGGAAAAGAGCAGCTTATTCCCTTGTGATGATTTGCTTCTGTCTCTTACCCAAGAAGAATGTATGATGTGCCTAATCCTCAGTTGCTTGTAACAGTTGTTCAGGAAATCCACCTTTCCATAGGGGTTAGGTTTAAGTTTAGCTGTGTAAACTTTCCCTCTCATTTCTGCTTCTGTGGCACGGGTGGAAGAAACCCTTGACTCTCTCTCCACAAGCGTTCATGAATCAGTGCTCCCTGACTTTTGTTTTTATGATTGATCAGGTTAGAGAAAATTAGCAGAGAGGGCGCCACATGGACCAACAGATTGTGTGAGAAGTAGATTTAAAGATACAATAGGTTAGGCTTTTGAAGCCAGATGGGTCAGAAGAGGCGGTATCCTTATGCTTTGTCCTCCATCCCTGTCAAGGAGAGAGAACAGTCTACATGTTGCTTATTGGCACAGTCTTCTTCCCTTTGCAATATGTCTCTGGATCTAGCCTAGCCATAGTTTCTTGGAAGAATAAAGTGAAAGAAGTATGTCAAGGGTCCTACCTGTCTATACCAGCTATGGGCTCTAGCATTTTTCTTGTTTTTCAGA